TATATATATATATATATATTGTGGGAATATACTGTGTATGTTATTTTATATGTATAAAAGTAATATTTATCCTATATGCATCAACGGTGTATCTAGAATAGAAGCTATGAGTTCAGCCGAATTCACAAAATATAAATCCTGATCCTTCTCATATACACCATATTTTTCGGTAAAGTGGAACCTTTTCGTGACTTCATAAAACTTTTCTCATAGACAAAGCTCACATATGTATCTTCGGCTGTAGTTTGATAATGAATTTACATTATTTTTCTCCATATACTATTTTGCAGATAAATACTACTATATACGATGGGGTAAATACATGCATTGAAGGCGGAAATTGCACTGCAACTGAGAACAAACTCTTCAGAGGTTAGTACTTTCTGGATAACTTTAATTAATTATTAATATTATTCGTTGGTGTATGTTCTAATACTTCTGGATTTGATATTTCAGACTTTAGGTTGGAATTCTTAAATGCTTTGCCCAAAGGAAATAATCCTAAATTAAGAGGAGCTTTCATTGACGCACGCAATCATCATACCCAAGTCCAAGGATGGTGGTCTCCTAAAAATGTCACCACCGTTAAAAATTTGGTACGTATGAGATTATATATTTATTTATTTAAGAGGCGAGCTTTGGCATAACTGGTAATATTGCTGCCATGTGATCAAGAGGTCACGAGTTCGAGATGTGAAAACAATCTCTGGTATAAATGCAGGGTAAGGCTGCGTACAACTAACCCTTGTGGTTCGGCCCTTCCCCGGACCCCGCGCATAGCGAGAGCTTCATGTGACCAGGAGATCACGAGTTCGAGTTGTGGAAACAAGCTCTTATAGAAATACAGGGTATGGTTGCGTACAAAAGACCCTTTTGGTCGGGCCCTTTCCCGGACCCCGCGCATAGCGAGAGCTTCATGTGACTAGGAGGTCACGAATTCGAACTGTGAAAATAATATTTTACAGAAATGCAGATTACGCTGCATACAATAAACCCTTCTGGTCCGGCCCTTCCCCGGACCCCGCGCATAGCGAGAGCTTCATGTGATCAGGAGGTCACGGATTCGAACTGTGGAAACAACCTTTTGTAAAAATGCAGGGTAACGCTGCATACAATATACCCTTGTGGTCCGGCACTTTTCCGAACCCCGCGCATAGCGAGAGCTTCATGTGACAAGGAGGTCACGCGTTCGAGTTGTGGAAATAGCCTCTTGCAGAAATATAGGGTAAGACTGCGTATAATAGACCCTTGTGGTCCGGCTTTTCCCCGTACCCCACGCATAGCGAGAGCTTAGTGCACTTTTTATTTATTTATTTATTTGTGTTTGGGATTGTATACTTATTAACTTATGGTTATTGCTTAGAAGAAATTTCAGGAAAATAGAAAAGGAAAAAAGTAGTTTTATTATGATATTAAATGAAGTGTTTTATATATGCAGAATCTAATGAAGGCATTTGGTGATTGGTACTATGATCGGAACTACACCTATGTGATAGATGAGCGTGACTTGCCAATCTCGGCTATGAATGATGTTAAACCTTGCGACTCCAAGAAGTGACGATGTGCAGTGTTTAATTAAAATCTATAATTATGTCAATGCATGTAATTTTAGTGACCTGATGTATGAGTTGATTTGTTGCTAATATAAATCAATAAAGTGTTTAATTGTGGTTTAATTCAGTAAAGTTCAGAAAGATGAATGTGAGTTTTGTTTTTTTCTTTGTTGTCTCCAGTGATAATTAACATGTCACATATCCCCCCGCTCAGTCGCGATTTTTTGACCGTCCAAGCAGTGGCAGAAGCAAATTTTTTACAAAGGAGATCAAAAAATATAAAAATTAAACATAAAAAAAATATAGGAAAATTCAATACCTAATATATATACACTCTTATATATACCGTGTACTTTTTTAGCAAAGAGGGTTTAGTCCTTCTACTGAACCCTCTTTTGGATCCGCCTCTGCGTGCAAGTTGTCGTCAAAGTCGCCGAAGCTCTAGGGGCGAGATCTTATACCTTTAAATGCAATATATAGTTTTACCTTATAAATAGAGGTATTGAGAATCATGCAGTACACCTGTGAAGTACACTTGAAGAAATAAGAAAACTCTTTCTTACTCTATATATCTTGCTTTCATATCCTTTAATTGTATACTCTATATACAATAAGCTTAATTGTATATAATAACGCATTACTGTATTTTCCTTTGTTCAATCACTTTTGTGGGTTAAACAGTATTTGAGCCATCTCTCATCCTATTTCATTGTACGCCTATTTCATTAACGTCCATCAATGTCCTTATTTGTCTTTGAAATTACAAATATTTTCAAAGTATAAAGTTTAATGTAACACGAGTGAACAGACATCTATGGCAATGAGACAAAGGGAGGACCTTCGAAAAAACAGGGGAGAACCGAGGTTGAAGGAAGCTCCAATATCTGACAGTTGCCATATTTTTGTGCAATTATTCACAAAATTCGGACCGATCATCGGAATATTTTGCAACGTGGCTGAAAATTCTAATAATTGATGTGTGGCTATAATTCATGGTTTAGCACATTATTTGCCTTGTATTTTTATACATTTTAATGATAAACTATACCATATTTGCGTGTAATAGAGTCCATTTTATGTGTAATGTGAATTGGAGATGAAAGTAGAAGAAAAAGGAGACCTACAAGTCAAAAGCGTGTGCGGGGGAATTGAATGAGAGAACCTGGCGACGCCAGGCTTGAAACTGGCGTTGCAAGGCAAAGGCCAGGCTGAAGCTGGCTTTAGGCTGGTGTTGCAAGGCAAAGGCCAGGCTGAAGCTGGCGTTAGGCTGGCGACGCCAGGCCTGGGGCCAGGTCCAATCCGAATTTTGAAGACTTAATTCGTTTCCGGGTTTAACTAGGACTTAGCCTACACGTTTAGGTCTTTTCCTACACATATAAATAGACCTAAAAATGCCACTTGGAGAGAGTGGGGCAACCAGGGAGTTTTGCGACCGGAGGCAAGAACATCACACTTCTTCTCTTCTTTTCCTTTAATCTCATAGTTTATTAGTTCTAGAGTTTTGGGTGCTACAGGAACGTTGTAGTTTGAAGCTTGAATTGTTCTTATTATTTTATCATATTGGTTTATTTATTCAATCTTGCGCTTAATTATTTGATTGATTGATCACCAATTGAATACTATCTACGAATCTAGGATTGAACTCGGGGAGGGAATTCTAGATTGCATATAAGATTGAGTAGAGCAAGATTTTAACTCTGGGGGGGTGCGGATTTGCGATTAGGATAGGAATATACCTAATCGCTTTGCTTTGTTATTATATGAAAATTATAAATGCGTTCTTGTTAATCCTAAATAGGAATATAGGCGTTAGGTTAGCTTGAATAAGTGAGTTGTACTTTGGGNAATTATTAATGCGTTCTTGTTAATTCTAATTCCATAGGAATATAGGCGTTAGATTAGCTTGAATAGGCGAGTTGTACTTCGGGAGAAGACTAAGAGCAATATTAACCATGTCAACCAATAAATCAGATAAATTAATTAGACGATTTAAGTGAAAAACTCAACGGGATTGTTAGCTAATCCATAGCTCTAGAAGATTCACTCACATTGAATTCGTCTTTAAGCTTGTCGTTGTTTTCTTTAATCTCTTAATTTACTATTCCAGATTAATTTTAGTTAAATATTTATACGTTACGATTTGCTTGAATAGATTAATTATTTGGTATAATTTAGTTGATAGTTAATCACAAGTCCCTGTGGATACGATATCTGGACTTACTTACCATCCTATATTACTTGTCGACCACGTATACTTGCGTGTGCGTTTGGGAGTAACAAGTTTTTGGCGCCGTTGCCGGGGACTTAGAAATTAACTATTCTACTAGATTGGATTTTTACTTTTTGTCTATTCAAATTTTTTATTTTTTTTATTTTTATCTTTATTTAATATTTTATTATCTTTGTTGACATGACATCTTGGAATGATAATTGGTCGAATACTGGTTATTCTTATTATGGTGATCCTTGTCCATATTGTGGAGGATCACACTTGTGGCAAAATTATATATCTCAATCTTATGTGTGGAATATTTGTAATATGTGTAGTTGTTAAGGTGGCCATTGGGATGATTGTCCTAATTCTTATTATCCGTCTCAGAGCTCTTATTATAATGTTTCTAATAATGTTTATGAGTTTGATAGGAGCAATGAAGTGGAGGATATGGAACATGATGCTCGTATTATGGACATAATGAAGCAAGTAGCCGAGCAACAAGATGAAAATCAAAAGGCTATTATGGACATGATAAACTAAGTAACAGAGCAACAAGTTCTTGGCACCTTAGCGATCAAAAGACTCCAGGCTAGAATGGACGAATTAATGGCCAATTTTCAAGAAGAACCTCAACTCGACGAAGAAAGTGAGTTCCCACAAGAAGATTACTTTGAAGAATCAGATATCATGAGCCAATCTTGGCTAGAAGAACAAGCTCAACTGGTAAAATTTCATGGGGTTCTACGTAATGGTTTGTCAAATATGGCAGAACAAGATAGACGAAAGAACTGAGCTTAGGCAAGAGATAGATCAATTTAGCTCAGATATCCATGACCTGCAGGCTCAATTGAATAAAAAGGTTGAGGCGTCTGATGCCCTATAATAAATTTTTGTGGATACTGTCCAGCATGTGGAGCGAAAAGAGGAATTCCAACTATTCGATCAAAATATTATTAATGATGTCAAGGTTGACGAAGAGTGCAAAATAGAGGATGTCAAAAATAATACAATTTTGGAGTTGGAGCATATTGGGCCTCATTCTAAACACTTTTCAAGATTGTGTTTGGTAGGTGACATGGGAATTGATCCAGTCGAGCATATGGAGGAGTCAATAGATGAGGAAAAAAGTGCTTATATCCTGAAATTTTCCATACCAAGGAGACAAAATGACATCCCTCACTTAAAGGCTAAGAAGTGCAAGATGCGACATCTATTGCTTGGTTCTTTTGTATTCACACCACCGCCCCAAGAACGTGACAGAAAAGTTGATGCAAAATTGGGGGCGCAATTCATATCCTCAAAGTGGAAGGAAAAGTGGTGAAAGTGATGGCGTCGTGCTGCAACGTTAAATCAAGTGCTTGTTGGGAGGCAACTCAATTCTATTTTTTGTTTTTTACTATGTTTTTCTTTTTGTAGTGTTGTTTTTGTATTTTTTAGGAGTAGGAGCATGGAATAAAGCCAACATGTGAGTGCGAGCATGTGGTTGAAACTGAGTGTGAGGTACCCGCACAAAGGATCATACCTGAGAGAAGTCTGAGTATCCCGTGAGCTGCTAATTCTTCGGCCTTTGGCCTTCCAGGGAGACTATTTTTCCCTCTTGTTATTTATAGTGTGCATTGAGGACATTGCACAATTTTAAGTGTGGGGTGAGGACATTATCTGGGTGATTTTCTGTGCTATCTTAGCTTAGTTGTAATAAAATAAAAAAATAAAAAAAAAGTAGAAAAATGTGACTTCTCCCGACGATGGATCGCATTCGACAGGTATCTTGAGGGATTTAAGTTGAAAGACAAAAAGATTTTCTTTTATTAGGTAATGTAATAATCTCCTCCTTGATTTTTCTTTGTGCCGCGGTTCTTTTCCAAGGGTTTTATTTGAACCGGATTTAGGTATTTTTTTTTTAGGAGAGGAGCCATGGTGATGTGAATTGAATTGAAGTAATATTTCTTGACTTTGTTATGCCTTGAGAATAGTGAGTACTTTAGTTGTGACGCTTAGGCTCAGTTTTTGACTCTTGTATAAGTACCTTAAATTGTATAATCTTAACTTTGCTTAACTACTTTGACTAGAGTATCTTGATGAGTCCAATCCTGAGTGAGTTATATGCCATGTGTGTGTGAGGTTTGTGTGTAAATTCTGTGCATTATATTTTATGTCTAGAACTTGTCCCGTGTGTTTGCAAAGCGAAATAATAGTTTTGTTCAGTTTTGGAAGTGATATAGGCATTTCTTTGTTGAACCAATTATATAATTTACCCGCCTTATTGTTATGTATCATCGTTAACCCCTTTGAGCCTGTAATCGTATTTCTTTGGCAACCACATTACAAGTCTTACCCATTTGTTTGAATTAACCATCTATTTGAACCTTTTCATCTCTCATGAGCACTTGAATTGTTATGAACTTTGTAAAAGTTAAAGTGTAGGGTGGTTGGTTTGGTTTTTGAGTGGAACTAATGAAATAAGGAGAAATGTGCATTGTTTTGAAAAAAATAAAATAAGAAATGCCACTTGAATTGAAAAAGAAAGAAAAGAAAAAAAAGTTGTATTGTTGTGAAAACTATTCCTTGATAGTATTAACTCTTGATGTAATTGTGCTTAAAGAAGTATGGAGTTAATATACATAGATGTGAAGGTGGAGTTATGGTTTGACATAAGTGTGGGGTTAAATGTTAAAGTGTATGTATTAAAGTGCTTAGGGAGGTGTAGTTACTCTTATATCCAAATGTATCCTACCCGACCTACAACCTACATTACAACCAATGAAAGTCCTACTTGATCTTAGATTGAATGAGCTCGATTAGTCGAGTATTACACTATGGACAACCTATGATGCATCTTTTGTAGCATATGAATGTTATTTATGAGAATGAGTGAATTCTTTCTAACTTGAGTTCCTAATTGTTCTTAAAAT